TTTTCGTTCATGACATTTTGGAAGACTTGTAGTAGTGGCTACAGAGTGCTGATACCTCACTCTTCTCCTCTATTCTAGAAGGGCTAATGCTAGTGCCACTGCGGCATCTCGAACTGACTGCTGGAAGATGGCCCGGGGGACTAATGCTTCGTTTGTATCGCCTCTGACTTGTGCACCCTTAACAGGTAACAGGATGATGTGTTTTTCATTCGTAAGTATTCTTGATGCCGTCATACCGAATCTTGCGGTCGGATTGCCAAGGCTTACCGAATAGAATGTGGCAGGCGTCCATCAGAACTACTTTGCACTAGACTTGCTCCTATAGCTGATCTCCAATCTAGAATTCGACCAGGTACTATTGATCCACACATCTCATTTCCCCTTTTCAGTCATGTAAGAGAATTTGACTGGGGATGCTTCTGCGTGTCAAACCCTAAATTCATCACCTTTAGCGTGGACAACATATTCTCACAACTCCCACAGTCGATGATTAAAATGCAAACCTTGCCTTTGATGATGCACACTTGGTGCGAAAGATACTATGTCTCAAACATGATTGATTTAGTTGTGGCTCTTACTGCAAAACATGTGGTATGACTAGCGGTTCTCCCTAGTCGCCATGGAACTGGAGTTCCTTCTTAGGGCTATCCTCCGACTCCTTGTCTACCTCCCCGATGACGCTCTGATTTGTGATTGTGATGACTCGAATCGTGGGGCAGTTGGAGGCTATGTGGCCATAGCCGTGACATCTGAAACACTTCTTGGTGAGTACGGTATTGGAGGAGCTGCATTTCTTCTACTTCTTCCCACTCTGATCCAGCTTGTCATTTCCTTGTTCTGGCTTGCTAGTTCCACTCGAAGTACCCTTGTCGGTTGTGGTAGTTGTAGGTGATTGCCTGATTGAAGGTTTCTGCCTGAAGAACGATTGTTGTTTGCTCTGCTTCTATTTTCTTTTGACTTTGAAGGCTAGAATCTGAACATCCCCTAGTGTGCAATATAGTTGTAGCTATATCGCATTGCTAATAGCGGGTTTCTGACGTCCAAGGTAATGGGATACAATGTGCTCTTCTAGCTCAGTTAGTTCGTGTTTCATATGTAAGTGGTCGAACTGAGCTGTGAACTCCTCCACGAAAAAGTCTTGCTGGTGTGGATTGTAGACATATCCTGGCGGTAATGAGGTGGAAGATATTTCTTCTGCATGGCTTACTTCATCTTCTCTCATTTGATAATCTTATTGTTTCTTTTTATTTTCTTCTGTTTTTATAAGTTCTCCCACAGCAAGGAGACACTTTTCTTCAACTTAATAGTAGCTAATTTGACGCTCATCATCTGACACATCTTTATACTCGAAGATCTGTCAACCAATTATAGCCTATCAATAAACTCTTCTGGTTCCATACCTCTGTCAAACTCTTGTAGGTCCATCTTAATGCCAAAGTCTCGATGACCTTCATATGTAGCCTTTTCTCTCGGCCTCCTTTGATGTGAGATTCCAAAACGACATGACCGGTATTTCTTTTTGTATGATGTTTCGCGTGGAGTAGATTTAGATCCTCGCCCTTGTCTCCCCTTCGACTCTCCAGATCACGGTCAAGTGTAATCTCTCCTTGGATCGTGTCATCCAACTCTGCCATTCTGTTACAGATGACGGATCTCCCATTGTAACTCCTCCTGGGTAGGGTCTAGTAGTTATTGTCGTTGGATACAATTCTAGTAAGGGGAAGAAGATTCCACCCAAAAATCTAAAAGAAAGACACAATAATCTAACCCTAAACTCAACAAACATACACATAAATAGACTCAAAGTAGGCGGGAAACAAAAAAGGAAATGGGAGGCATTGGGCGGCAAATCCCACCCCCTATGAATGCTGACTCCTAGTAGGCGGGTATCAAGAAAGGAAAATCTGGGGGAGGGGGAGGTGGAGCCCCACATCATGTGGGAATTGCCATTAAGTGGAATTAAGTTGTGGTTAAAGAATAAGAGGCGAATGGAGAGGAGTAGAAGTTAAGGGCTTATTTTTTATTGATGTTCTGGCAAAATTTTAGGCTGGGCTTTGCTTTATTTTGCTCTGCATTGTTTGCTCGGTTTTCTCTTTTACCTTTTTTTTTTTAAGGGAGGAACCTTTCTCTTTGTTTCGTAGGGGATGTGGTTCCACCCTTGAGAGAGAAGTGTGATAGGGTGATTTGATTGATTATATTCTTGGAGGGTGTGGGTCCCCCTAAGGAATATTCTTGTTATATTCTTGGAGGGTGTGGGTCCCCCTAAGGAATCATTTTTGCACTTGATTACCACTTTTGCATTTAACGAATGAGAAGGTCTATCGTTTGGATGATGGAAGAAACTTCTATTTGGACACCTTAGGCTAGGTTTTGTTGCTTTCAGTTTGGTTCTTTAAGTTCAACAGTTTTTTTTTTTTCCTTTGTGGGGGACCTTTTCAACTTAGTAGGTAAGACCCTAGCATGTTCTTGACTTAGTTTGTTCATAGTTGAGCAATTACAAGATGTTGACCTAAATTTGACCAAGTTTGACCGTATTTAACTGAGGTTAACTAGTTGGACACATGAGAAATGACTCATGATGCATGCCAGAACTTTGAAGGGCCTCCTCATGGACCGCTATATCAGGCCAATAGACTGATTCTGGCTGATTGCTATATTGGCCATTTCTACTCGGAAACTTTTACAGGTCCAAATTCAGCCCACTATCATGTTGTATGCCCACTACGTAGTCAATAATTTCCTTTTGCGAGCTGGACTTCTCCTCTTTCCTTTTTCAACACTTCCTATTTTTAGTTGCCGAGCAGTGCTTTAGCCCCAAAATTGTAGAATTCATACATTTACTATTTTGATGTACTTGCAGCTTACTTCCTACGAACTTTAGGAATTTAGAAATGTACCAGATGCATAGCATATGGTAAATTGGTTAGGATTTTGTAATTTAAACTTTTACCATCCCCACACAAACAACTCACATCACCCTAGTTTATTGGCTATTCTCAAGGTAATCAGAACAAAGAGGTCTACATGCTTCTTGACAAATGGTGAAGAGAAAATGAGGTCATCATATTTATATAGGGAGTGCTATACATTCAGATAGAGACTTATTTTTATCTATGGGTAAATAAATGGAATATTTTAGATTTTCATATTTAGATTATGAAATATGATCTTTGCAAGTATTAATTGAAGAAACAAGATAACCCCTTGATTAAGGTTCTAGAATGATTCTATTCCCCAGGTTTTCACAATCACATTGTGGGATCATAAGTTTATGGATTGAAGCTTTACTTGGCTTATTTTACTAGGCTTCACTGTCCATTTCTCAAGGATTATGAGCTCAGTTTAGTAGGCTGGGCTTTTTTATAGGGATTCTGTTTCAAGCTAAGTATTCAATTACACTATTATGCATATTTGACCTTTTGCTTTTTCTTTTGGTAGGTTCTTCCTGTTGGATGTGAACTGCTAGGATGCATGGTTGTCTTCAAGGAGTTTATTTCATCAGAAGTAGGCAGAAGAGCCCTTGAATTCATATTCTGCCAATTTGATGCCTCATCGAATGGGGAACATAGGGAGGATGAGAAGGATGCTGAAGAATGTGCTTCTGATAAAGCTGATTGGAGGTTCCCTCCTCCTTTTTTACACTGCTGGAAGAAGTTATTGAGTCGCTTGGATGCTGAGGATGATACCGTAAACTTAGCTATTGAAACTGCTTACACCTTGTCATCATGTGCTTTACACCTTTGCATGGAAAAACAGGAGTGAGTTAATTCTCAACAATTTTGAACTCTTTTGTAAATTTACCTTAAATTTTTATAATCTAATTTAGGAAATAATTATTTAATGAATTTTGGATTTTAGTTATGATGAATAATTTCATCAAAGTCTCCGGATGTATTTGTCTTGGATTTCTCTGTTCCCTAACTTCTTGTTTCAGAAGTCCATTGATGGAGACTGTGCATAGTATGCCTTATATGATTAATACTTATCATTCAGGCATGACAGGTTTAAGCATAGCCGGCCTTCTCTGCAAAAGAAATGGAGTTTTGCTAAGAATTTAAGTTAAAAGTTAAGCCTAAATGATTAAAAATGGAGAAAGTGCCTCTGAACTCATAATACAAACTGCCAAGAGAATGCCGTGGGGAGTGTAAGGTACATTTTAGAAGTGCTTTATAGCCTATTGGGTGTGTGAGATGAATTTGTTGTAAAGTTTGGTGGAATATTGATATAGTTGAATGATGAGAACACCGTGTCAGAAAGGTAGCTTCTTGAAAAAATTTTTAGGTGGTATGCACATGTGCATCATAGGATTAAATATGCATCATTTAGGTAAGTAGAATTATTGTAAACTATAAATTAAAGAAAAAACATTTAGTGTAAAGCGCATGTAGCACATTAATTTTGAATGTGGGAGGATATATAAAGCGAACTAGTAGCTGGCCATAGCTTGGCAGTTTGGTTTTTTGAGGGCCAATTCTGGATTTGCTTTCCTTGCTGGTAATAATTGCTGAATGCACTCCATTCTATAGTCCTGAACCTATATGCTTTGTTTCATGAAATATAGACTCAGGAAATTTTGTTTTATAGTGGTGGTGATTTTTTGTCATAGGTTAGTTCATTTGGGCAAGTTCCAAGATAGAGAGATTCTTGTACGCCAAAGAGAACTTGGACTCACTGTGCTTATTTAAATGAATTGCTTATAGCTGAAGACTGACTATATTGAATTCTGCCTTAGTTTACCAACATCTCGATTGGCTAAGGATAATGCATTATTTGCTCTGAAGAACTGTTATTGAGGCTAGAATGTCTTATGATTTAAGTAGTTTTACACCTCGCCACACCATTTACTTTCAATCTAGTATTAAGAAGTATTGAAGATGGTAATTGCGACACTAGAATTCTGAAGGATAGATTGTCGGCCAAGAATTTGGTTCCGGTTGGAATTTTTGAAAATGATTGTTTTAATTCAATATATGTAACTTTTTATTTTTAAAAATAGCATTTTAATATTGAAAGATGAGACTGAAGATATCTCACATACTTCATAGTTTAAATAATCGAGCACCACCCCAGTAATACACCATCCCGAGGGATAGACATACCACTTGACATTGGGTTTGATTATATAAACTAAATATTTTTTGACATTCATTTGGTTTGTGAGTGTTTTATGTGTGGCAGACAAGTTCTCCTACCTAATATAAAAATTAGATAGAGTTTATTTTACTTGGGTTTCAAGTTCCATATAGAGGCAAACCCCTACAGTTAATTATATCTCAAATGACATATATAGGCAAACCCCTACAGTTAATTATATCTCAAATGACTTAATCCACTAAAAAAAACTCTCGATTTAGATCAATATTTCTGTTTTTAAGATTTCACAGTTTAATTTTTCAAGGACAGACCTGAAAAAGACAAGTGGGAGTGGCTCAAGTAGGAAAAATTATTTTCGGAGTCTAAAAGAGTAAAAGGTAAGGGATGTCATATATATCGAGGAAAATCTCGGTGACTTCCCAAACCATCCTATTATTTGACTGTGTTTTGGAAATGATGTTATTAATGTTTATTTTTGCCAATTATTAAAATTAGGGCTTATATTTACATGATATCCGCTCATGCAAATAGCCTAGAGAAAGATAAGAGGGTTTACGTCGTGACAGACGAACAACCTCGGAATCTTATAAAGTTAGAAGTTACATTGCACAACATGGTTGTGCAAAAGCCTAAATGATAAAGGAAAGATTTATATTGCACTAGGCAGACTACCTCTAATTCTTATGGGTTTGTTATTATTTAAGACTAAGAAAATGTTTAGTCGAAGTAGATTTGCTCTGCTGCTAAACGTAAATTGTCTCTAAAGTTATTTTTCATCTTCTGCAGCTTGCTTCAAGTTCCTTGTTGCGACGGCTGCAGACTTAGGGTTTATGTTTTGTATTGCTCTGCTGCTAAACGTAAATTGTCTCTAAAGTTGTTTTTCATCTTCTGCAGCTTGCTTCAAGTTCCTTGCTGCGACGGCTGCAGACTTAGGGTTTATGTTTTGTATGTGCATGTATAATTATTATTGTGTTTCATGGCATGCCGTTGGGTATCTCCTAACCGGTGTCCTACTGTTTTCTTCCCCAGGGGCTTTGCAAGTATGTAAATAATGCATGAATAAAAGAATAGTAAAGGCATAGTAAAAATGCAGTAAAGCATGTTGCACAAGGCAATAAAATGCAGTAAATGAAAAAAAAATTTGCATACCTAGAAGTTTTAGTCGCTGCGGCAGAAATGTCATTACCACAAGTATAAGCATGCAAATTTTGCAATGAAAGTAAAAAAAGTGACACATATGTGAAAGATCAAACTAGGTCATAAGCATTCAGGTTCAGGGTAGGCTCATAGCTGAATTAAACAAACAAACGAAGGAGGGCAACTCCTGGCCTAATCAAGGTGATTTACAAGTGGACTTATATAGGTTAGCATCCAAAATTCTTAATTTATCATGCATGTTGGGTTGATTTTTTACTTAACAGTCAAAAGTAATATTGTATGAGAAAAATGTATGTATATTTATTTATTTTTTTTATTATGTTATGTGTGAGTATTTTGTCAAATTAGATAGTCCACAGGTTATTTACCTCGATCGGGCTAGAATTACCTGTAACCTAAGAAAGCAAGGGGTAACTTTACACCAAGAGCTGGTGAATAGTATCATCGATCTTGCTCTCCCTTCATCGAAGGTCATCGAGTCAGGAGATACTATTCTATCATCCCACCTTACCGCACATAAGCACTGTCATTATCACCCTTAACCCCGAACCATCCAACGTATAGCCCTGCTTGATGATTCACTTATCCCTACCCTATATGCACTTATATTTGGATATAAGCACATAACCTAAAACATCAAGCAAGGAAAAGAAAATGAAGAGAAAAGGAGCCCAACTCACCTCTAAAATCAGTAAAGAGACAAAACAACAAGTGGATCGGCCTAAAAAAATGTTTGAATCCTCTCAAAATAGCAATCAAATTAGTCCCAAAAGGTAGCATTTAATGCTCTTTCAAACAATATTTAATCGGCTTCATGGCTCGACATTTAAAGCACTCAAGGTAGCAGTTATATTGGGTTGAAAATCAGCATGCAAGATGTTCAAAACAACATGCATATTTAGCATGGAAATCAGCATTTGAAGTGTTTAAAGCAACACGTGTTGGATGTAAACAACAACACTTTGAGGCGTCAAAACAGCATGTGTATTGAACATTTTAAGCACTTAAAACATGTTTACCAAGCCCAAAATGAGGATTTAAGATACTCAAAACAACATATGTATCAGGCTTAAAACCCACATTTAAAGTGCCTAGAACAGCTTATATGTCAGGCTCAAAATGTGCATTTATTGTGCTGAAAAACAGTGTATGTATCAGGGCCCAAACCTCCATTTAAAGCTTCCAAGTCAACATGAATATTGGTCCAAAAACAGCCTTTAAAGCACTAAAACAGTATATGAAATTCGTTAAAAAAATGTGGGTTTATAAGGTTCAAAACTGCACTTTAACCCTCCCTAAATGATGAATTCACAGGACTTAAATCAGCATCTCTTCTTTTCCAAGAAGAATGAGTTTACAAGGTTCAACATGCCATTTTTATCTCTTTAAAATAGCATTGAAATCAACACCAAATAGTACATTTATTCCTTCCAAAATAGTTAGAAAATCAGCCCAAAAAGTACATGTAAAGGCTCCAAAACAATAAGCAAATCAGCACTCAAATGGTGCTCAAAGCTCTTCAAAGACAGTGGCCAAATAATACCCAAACCATCTCCAAAATAGTACCCAAAAAGCATCCAAACAGTCAATGAATCAGCATCAAGGTGGTGCATAAATCCTTTCCAAAACAACGGATATCGAGCCCATGAAACAGCACCTAGATCTACCTCAAAACAGTGAGCATATGCAAGCTCTTTAAATGTCAGAATGGATATAGCAGCAAGAGGACTTAAAATGAAGGGAAAATTTTACATGACACTTGATTCCTTTGCATTTGTACATCTAACACCTAAACCCAAATTCCACATTCATGCCATCTCGCTTATGCATGAAAAGGTATACCTCACTTTTAAAAGTTAAATAACTTGTTTATAGTCGAGCCGGTTAGGGCTCGGGCGGGACCGAATGGAGAAGAATCGGGAGGGGGGAGCGTTCGGCCGGTTCACGAGAGAATGAGGGAGGCTAGGCATAGGTTTTAATTTAAGTAGGATTTATTTATTTATTTTTTTATTATATTATTATTATTAGTTACTTAAAATCATTGATTTGCGCATTTTTGGTTTGTGCACGAAGGCATATCAAAATGGGTGTCCTTAGATAAAATTGACGTCCCGGACGCACTTGCACGGTCTGTTTCGTCATCCGGTGCTGTCTGGACAAACTTGTCGATGATTAGATCAAAAATGTGTCAAGCTTTTTCGAATTTTAGTTCATGGTTAATCATTTTAAAATTGATTTCAGTTTTATATCGGTGAAGTGTATGCAAGTGTAGGTAATGCAAATGAGGTGTGCACAAGGTTACCTTAGAGCTTAAAGGTCCTATAGGAACCTTCTTTGGGTTTCACCATGTTGGTCTCAACCATCCAAGGGCTGGTGGTCGAAAACCACACATGTGAGACCTCCAAGAAGAGTCAAGAAGTGGTTTAAATTTCTAAGCGGGGTAGGTCCCAATAGTAGACTTCTAAAATGGTTAAAGGAAACCCCTATGGCTAGATCATAGGCTTTA